TTTTTCATCAGGCCTTTGTGCCCAGACATTAGCCTAGCCTTTCTTCATGGCTTTTGTGTCAGATTTTTCACTTGGATTTTTGTCCAGGCCTCTTTTTGTCTAGCCTTTTTGCCCATCACTTTACTGCATATTTTCATCCAACCTCTGTGACTGAACTTTTCACCTTGCCCTTGCTCTTAGCTTTTGTGCTCAGATTTAGAGAAATGTCAGTAAAGGACAAAAGCTCCAATCAATTAGTCTTCTTATCCAACCCAAGGGAAGAAGTTAATGCTGTACTGTATATTTTATGGATGTTTTGCATGCAGGAAGGTTAACTGAACACATGTATGCAGTGCCCACATGTGTCTGGAGAGGACACCGAATGCCCTAGAACTGGATTTACAGTTTTTAACCACTATGTGGGGGTCTGGGACAGGGTCCTCTGGTAGAGCAGCCTGTGCTCTTACCTATTAAGCTATTGCTGCAGTTCCTTTACCTCATTTTTAAAGCATGGCCTCTGTGTACAGACCTTTTGCTTAGCCTTTGCTTACAGCTTCTGTACCCAGATTTTTCTGCCCAGCTTATTCATCCAGTCTTTTCTCCCCACAGTGATGCTTTTGGTATTGCATGGGTCTCTATTTAAATAGAGGGCACTGCATGGGAAAGTATTGCTTCTGAAGGCTTTGGGTACTGCATATGGATACATAATACTTTTCTGGGTGCTTTGTGTATTATAAAGGTATCTGTCACCCTCTTCTTGATGTCTTGGTTACTTCATTGGCATATGTCACCATCTTTTGGGTGCTTTGTGTACTGCACAGTATCTATTGTGTATTTTTGGTATTGTGTTCTGCATGCGGATCTAATCCCTCCCCCCCGGATGCTTTAGATACTGCAAGGGGTTCTATTCTCTTTTGGATGCTATTGGTACTGCACGCGGCTTGATTGCCCTATTCTGGGTGTTTTAGGTATTGTATTGGGTTCAGCAAATGGAACTATCACCTTCTTCTGTATGCTCTTGGAACTGCATGGTGCTCTGTTCTGGGTGCATTGATTACTGAATGGGGTTCTATTGCACTCATCTTGCCACTTACTTTACCATCCTCTGGATTCTTTGTATATTGCATGGGCACCTATCACCCTCTTCTGAAACCTGCTGGTACTGCATGGAAGGTATTGCCCTCTTCTGGATGCTTTGGGCACTGCAAGAGGATCTAATGCTTTCTTCTGTATGCTTTGGATATTGTGTGGGTCTCTATTATTCTTTTCTGAATGATTTGGGTATGACATGGAGATCTGCATGTGGAACTCTCACACTCTACTGGGAGCTTTGTATACTGCATGGCGATCTATTGCACTCTTCTGGCCACTGGCAGTATTGCATGGGATCTAGTGCTCTCTTTTGTGTGCTTTGAATACTGTAAAAATACATCTATAACCCTCTTCTGGATGTTTTGGGTGCCACATGGGTAATCTATCATTGTCTTCTGGGTGCTTTGGGTACTGCATGGGGAACTCTCTCCCACATCTGACTTCTTTCAGTACTACATAATGGTCGAACTTTTACCTTCTTCTTTGAGGTTTTGGTACTGCCTAAAGTTCTATCACACTCTTTTGGTCACTGACTGTACTGCATGGGAAGCTAGCACCTGTAGCTGGAGAGTTTTCTCTCTGAGTCCTTCCAAGCCCCAGCAGTCCAGCAGCCTACTTAAAAAATAAACACACAGATGCTTATATTATTTAAACTATTTGGCCTAATGGCTCAGGCTTCTAGCTATCTAGTTCTTACATCTTAAATTAATCCATTTCTATAAATCTATACCTTGCCATGTGGCTCGTGGCTTACCGGCATCTTCACATGCTTTTGTCATGGTGGCGGCTGGCAGTGTCTCCTTCTGCCTTCCTGTTCTCTCAATTCTCCTCTCTGTTAGTCCCTCTTATACTTCCTGCCTGGTTATTGGCCAATCAGTGTTTTATTTATTGACCAATCAGAGTAACACATTTGATATACAGACCATCCCACAGCAATCACCCTCTTCTGGATGATGTGGGTATTGCAAGGGACTCTTTTGGCTTCTTCTGGGTGCTTTGGGTACTACATGAGTGGTACTACATCATTGTCTTCTGGGTGTTTTGGGAACTGCAAAGCAATTTATCAAGCTATTTCTGGTGATTTGGCAACTGCAAAAGAACCAATTGCTCTCTTCTGGATGCTTTGGATTCTGGATGTGTTGGATATCTTGTACCCTCTTCTGGATGCCTGCATAATGGTCTGGAATGGGAACTATTGCCCTCTTCTGGATGCTTTGCATAGTTCATGGGGATCTAAATGGAGATCTATTGCTCTCTTTTAGATACTTTGAGTACTGTAAGGGGATCTAACATCCTCTTCTAGATGCTTTGGATCCTTCCTGGGGCTCCACTGTTCTTTTCTGAATGATTTGGGTATTGCATGGGGCTCTACATATGGATCTCTCACACTTTTCTGGGAGCTTTGGGTACAACATGGGCATTTATAGCCCTATTCTAGATGTTTTTGCTATTGCTTTGTGCTCTGTTGCCCTTTTCAGGATGTTTTGGTTACAATGTGGGGGTTCTGTCATACTCTGTGGTCACTGACAGCACTGCATGGGAAGCTATTGCCCTTTTCTGGATGCTTTGGTTATTACATGGGGATCTACCACTCTCTTCTGGGTGCTTTTGGTACTATCAGACATATCTGTTACCCTCTCTGGTTATTGCATGGGTAATCCATCATTGTTTTCTTTGGGAAGACAATGTCTTTTCAAAAGTGCTTTGGGAACCATTCTTGGTGATTTGATAACTGCAACGAGGTCTATTGCCTTTTTCTCGGTGTCTTGGGGATTTCATTTTAATCTATTGCTCTCTTTTGGATTCTTTATGTAAAGCAAAGGCATCCATCACTATCTTCTGGATGTTTTAGGTACTATATGGGGATTTATTTCCCTCTTCCAGTACCTAAGGGTACTGCATGGGAAGATATCGCCCTCTTCTGGATGTTTTAGATACTACTTAGGGTATACCGCCCTCTTCTGGGTACTTTGGGTACTGCTTGGAAGCTATTGTTTTCTTCTGGATGCTTTTGCTACTGCATGGGTTACTATTGTCAACTTTAGGATGTTTTAGGTACTATATATGAACCTATCCCCATCATTTGCCTGCTGCAGCAACACTGGGTGCTTTGGTTGCTGCATAAAGGTTATAGCTCTCTTCTGGGTGCTTTGGGTTCTGAAAAGGGATCTATCACCCTCTTCCATATGCTTTTGATACTGATGGGAATCTGTATGGGTATATATTGCCCTCTTCTGGGTGTTAGGGTACTGCATGGATAATATATTGCCCTCTTCTGGATGCTTTGAGTACTGCTTATGGGTGGTTTGGGTAATGATAGGAATCTGCATGGGAAGCTATTGCTTTCTCCTGCTTGCTAAAGAGACTACATGGAGAAATATAACTCTCTGCTTTGGACACTGTACTGGGATATATGGCTCTCTTCTGGGTACTTTGAATAATTCAAAGGCATCTATCACACACTTTTGAATGTCTTGGATACTGCATTGGGATATATCACCCTCTTCTGGATGCTTTAGGTACTGCAAAAACACCTTCTTTGGGGTGCTTTGCGTACTGCATGCAGCTCTGTGGCCCTCTTACACGTACTTAGGGTATTGGATGGGAATCTTTCACAATCCTCTGAAGGTACTGAACAGGAAGCAATTGCCCTCTTCTGGGTACTTTGGTTACTGCATGGGCTCTATCTCAATCTTCTGGGTATTTTGGGTACCCTCCTTTGGATGCTCTTGATAGTACATGGGGTTCTATTGACCCCCTCTGGGTTTACTGGGTGCTGCAAGTTGTTCTATTGCTCAATTTTGGATGCTTTTGGTACTTCTGGGTCTCTATCACACTCTTCTGGGTGCTTTGGTTAATGCCTGGGGACCTATTGCCATCTTCTGGATTCTTTGGGTACTGACTAGAATATGCATGGGAATCTTTCAACCTCTAAATGGTTTACATTATGTGTAAAAATGCACATAGGCTTGGAAAAGAGAGGAAAAGGAGAATAGACAGTTACATAAAGAAATTGCTTTAAAAAGTAAAATCTTTAAAGAAACAGTAAAAGTAATATAAAAATAAGCCACATAAAGATGAAAATTACACAGTCTGGATTATATTGTCTGGGATTTTTAACTGCAGAAAGACTGTAAAGGCTGCTGAGTTAAGCCAATATATATGTTTTAAAGGTATCTTGATTTGTGTCTAAGGATACATTGCTTTGGAAAAGAGGTTCTTGCTTTTGTTTCCACAGAAGATGAGAACCTTGGGTTGCTTCCAAGCTAATATGGTTTGATCAAGGAAGACCCCCTGATGACCTTCCAATATCCAGAAGAGCTTCAAGGCAACTGGATCAGACAATGCAACCTCATAGACTTCTCCAGTCTGGACTTGACCATAATTCTTAATTTTCTCAGAATCCTCATAAGATTGCTAGCACCCCCAACCAGCAGGAAGTAGCATGAGAAACTATGCCCAAATTCTAAAAATATTGTTTATAAATGTTTATTTTATTTAAAGGGGATTGATTATAAATGCAATCTCTTTCTAAAGAAGAAAGGGGAATAGGATGAAAGGATAGATTATTGAATCTACTTTTAAAGAGCAACAACTTATTTGAAATATTTTACATTGCTATGGATTTTAGTGTGATACAAATTTAAAGTTAATTTTGTTATACTGAATATATTTCTACTCTTGTTTAAGGTATTACGTTTATGCAGTTCATTTAAATTGTAATATATAATTAAGAAATACAGATTAATAGTCATCTAGGATAATCAATCTTATAGTCATGTTAGTTAAGTTTTCTAGGTATACATAAATATATTTCAATTAGGTAGGTAATCTTCAAACACTTCAAAGACCTAGAGAGTATGGAATTTAAAATGTTTTAAGAACTTTGACTTTCTGGACATTGAGACATGTCTTCTTTCTTCTGGCAGCACCAATCTACTTCAGAGAAGATGGTGGGCATTGAAATAGCTCCATATAGAGTTTGCTTTCTTTGGAAAAAGTTAGCCACTTGGCAAGAAACTGTTCATGCCTGAAGTACTTGACAAAATGTATCAACTGGACATGCCTGACCCAGGGAAAAATGACCACTAAATGAGGTGAGATGGTCCTTCAGTTTCCTGCTTCACAGAGGAGACTGCCAGACATTCTGCAGGACACAGGGAGAAGCAACTGAAAGAGAAACTCTGGGCCTATAGGCTGAAGATGGATGCCCCAATGTTGCAGAGAAACTTTGGGTGAATGTTCAGGCAGCCAGCTGTCTCTACCATTCTAGAATTTTGGAAGTTGCTTACAATGTACGTCCTATTTACTTAGTTCTGAGGTGCTGCTTCTAGTACTGCTTGTGAAGTTATCTGACTCTTCTAGGTACTTTGTTTACTGCAAGGGGATGAACTGCTCTCTTTTGGATTCTTTGGGTACTGAATTGGGAATTATCTCCTAGTTCTGGATGCTTTAGGTATTGTATGGAGATCTATCCACATTTGCCTGCTTCTGCAATTGCATGGAAGCTATAGTCTTATTTTGGGTACTTGGAAATTATTGCCCTCTTCAGGGTTCTTTGGGTTCTCAAGGGATGGATCTATGTCCCTCTTTTGCCTGCTGCTGATACTTCTTGGGAAGCTATCACTCTCTTCTGAGTGCTTTGTGTACTGCAAGGGATGCATTGCCCTATTCTGGATCTTTTAGGTACTGCAAGTGACTGTATACTGCTCTTATGTATACTTCAGGTATTGCATGCTGATCTACCACTATTCTCTTGATGCTGTTGATACTTATTGGGAAAGCAATGGCCTTTTTCTTCTGGGTTCACTGTCTCATGGATGCTTTGGGAGCATCCATGGGGGCTCTAACTGCCTCTTCTGGGTAGCTTGGATACTGCATGGGAAATTATAGCCCTCTTCTGGATTATTTGTGCTCTACATAGTAATATACCAGGGGATGTATTAACCTCTTCTGGATCCTATTGGTATAGCAAGGGAATCTATTCCCCTCTCCTGGATGCTTTGGGTATTGCAGGGGAATCTATTGCCCTCTTCTGGTCACTAGAGGTACTGCATGGGAAGTGATTGCCCTCTTCTGGAGCTTTGGATACTACCATATATAACATAGCTCTCTTCTGGATTCTTTGAGTATTTCATGGAATTTTCATGGGGGATTCAAGACCCCTTCTTGATACGTTTTGCATTGCAAAGGGATCTGTAGGCTTCTGAATGCTGTAAACACTGCATGGAGGTACATATTGGGAGGTTTTGCCCTCTTCTGGATGTTTTGGGTACTTCTGGAGGGTCTATCACCCTCTTCTGGGTGCTTTTGGTAATGCATGGGGGAAACTACCACCCTTTTCTGCCTGCTTTGGGTACAGGAAGGGAATCTATCTCATTCTTCTGGTTACTGAGGTGCTACATGGGAAGCTATCGCTAATGTTCTGCATGCTTTGAGTATTGAATAAGGATCTATCACCCTCCTCTAGTTGCTCTAGGTACTGTAAGGGAATCCTTCATCCCTTTGCTGATGCTTTTGGTACTGCATGGGGTTCTTTGGCCCTCTTCTGGATGGTTTGAGCACTGAATGGCAATCTTTATGGGGTTCTTTTTGCCCTCTTTGAGATTCTGTGGGTACTGAGTACTTCATGAAGAATCTATTGCTTGGTTCTGGGTGCTTTTGCTACTGCATGGGACTCTTCCTGGATGCTTTGGGAACAGCATGGGTATCTACTACCATCTTCTGGATTCTTAGTGTACTGCATGGGGAACTTAATGGGAATCTGTTGACCTCTTCTGGATGCTTTAAGTATTGCAAGGGGATCTAGTGCCCTTTTCCAGATGCTTTGTGTACTGCATAGGGTTCTGGATGGGGACCTGCTGACTTTTCTGGATGCACTGGGTACTGCATGTAGATGTATCACCTATATATCTTGTCACTGAAGGATCCAGGAAGCTATCTCCCTCCTTTGGATGTTTGGGTCAGTGCATGCATAGCCATCACCCACTTCTGGATGCTTTGTGTGGTTGTTATGAATGAGAATGGCTTCCATAGCCTCATGGATTTGAACACTTGGTCACTAGGGAGTGGTACTATTTGAAAAGATTAGGCAGCATGGCCTTGTAGGCAGAAATGTTTCACTGGGGGTGGGCTATGAAGTTACAACAAGCCCATTCAAAGCATGAAGTTTTTATCTTGCTCCTGCCAGTGGATTAGGATGTAGAATTCTTAGCTACCTCTCTAGGACCATGGCTGCTGCTCTGCCATAATGCTTCCCACCACGATAATAGACTAAATCTCTGAAACTGTAAGCAAGCCCAAATAAAATACTTTTTTTTATAAGAATTACCATGGTCCTGGTATCACTTTACAGCAATAGAAAACTAATTAAGACTTTTAAATACTGCAAGAGGATATGTTGCCCTCTTCTAGGTGCTTTGGGAACTGAATAGGAAAGCAATCTCTCTCTTCTGGGTCTTTTGGATACTGCAATGCAATCTATTTCCCTCTTTTGGATGCGTTAGGTACTGCCAAAGTACCTATCACTCTTCTCACTGCTGGAGGTACTGCATGAGGCTCTATAGCCCTTTTCTAGATATCTTAGGTACTGAAAGGGAATCTATCACCATCTTCTGTGTGCTTTGGGAACACGTTTCGAAAAATGTTTACATCATCTTCAAGAAAAGGTAGTCCTAAGTGGCATTTCGTTTTCTTTCTTTTGGTGAATAAATATTTGACTGTGAAATACCCTGGAACCTGAATAAACATGAATATTTGGGAAGTCTTGTAACTCAGTTACTTAGTTTTAAGAATTCATTATTGCTTCTTTATTCTTTGTGAGTCAGAGCATCAGATTTGAGCACTAATACATGGGTGATGACACTTGTGTTTGTTCAGTGAAACATCATTTGCACCATGCGAGCAGAAAGGCAACTTCATGCTGTTCTAATAAGATGATGTCATTACAAAGGACATATAACTCAGTGGATCCAAGTTTCCTTTATATGAAGGTACAGGGGGGGCACCTGGGGTCTCTTCGTCTAGGTCATGGTGATGTTTAGTCTCATTCTGATAGGTATCTGTATGGGTTCTTTGTCTTTCAATCCTAGTCTGTGTAGCATAGTCTAAAGTTTTTCAGAAAGTCTGAGTTCAGTTTGAGGCCTAATGTGTTATGTAGTACAGTTACGGATCAACTATGGGTTCACAGACTCTTCTGTGGTCAAGAACAGTCTCCGGATCCTATGAGGCCTTAATTGGGGCCAGAAAATTAATGGAAGGGGGGCTGGATACAAAAGTTCTGAAGCCCAGATGTGGCTCAGAACCCAAAAAAGGCTATGATGTGGTCTTGGCATGGATTAAATGAAAAGTTTGTATAAAATACTGCCTTGAATTTCATGTGGCCAGTGTCATTTACAGTGCAACAATGCTGGTAGATATGTTGGTTCCAGTCTTTTCTGAGGTCTTGGTGTTGAGTAATTCACAATTGTGATCAACCTGTCCTAGATTTGTTGAAGACCAGATAGCATCTGGGCCCACACATCTATCTTACCAAAGTGTTCACTTATTGTTTCTGTGTTCTAGAAACCATGGATATCCTATTGTTGACCTGGCTCCACTAAATTGAGAATTATCTCCTGGGTATCATGAAGTACTTGGGGGCTCACACACCCTTGAAGTTAAATTGGACCCAGGCATCTATCTCAGCTTGCATTTCTTTCATTTGTTTGTCAGTCATCTGTGGTGGTATTGTGTTCCCCAAAATATCGTGTACCTTAATAAACTTATCTGGGGTCAGAGAACAGAAAAGCCACTAGTTGGGCAGTGACAGCACACGCCTTTAATCCTAGCATTCCAGAGACAGAAATCCCTCTGGATCTCTGTGAGTTCAAGGCCACATTGGAAACAGCCAGGCATGGTGA